ATATCAATAAGTGCGTTGCCTATTATAGGTTTGGTGAATTTTGATCTGAAAAATGTCACTATATAATCGTCAATGACTCTGATCGATGGAGAAACGTTGGATTAAGTGCAGTGACAAGAGATTCTTTATAAAAAACAAGTATTTATGTAAAATAAAATCTTTTTTCTGTTACTAAGATCTAAACTTATTGATGCACTTATGTACGTGTATTTCTTTGCGTCTGTGTCTGCGTTTGAGAATGTGTGTGGGGGGAGTGAACTGTGTACCTTGTACAATAGTGTGCATATATATATATATATATATATATATATATATATATATATAGATATATATAGATAGATAGATGGATAATATATTCTATTCATGCCCATAAAGTAACAATTTAATCAATATATGTCAAAATATCAAGATATCAGTTTCAACGGCTATAAACAAATAAAGATCGATGTCCCCAGGAAAGTGTAGGAATTTTTACTCAATTTCAATTTAATCACATAGAGGAAAAGGCTTGTATGTAAGCAGCACTAATTAGCAGCTCAACGGAAATTGAAAAAATACAAGATCATAAAGAGAAAGTAGTTCAACACGTCGGTCATTTGTAACTATGACTATTCGTTTTGTTTTTATTAATAACCAGAATTCATAGTGAGATTAAACAAAAAGAGGTAGAAAGGAAAGAGAAAATATTCCTCTGTTTAAACTGCGATCAGTGCATTTGACAAGAATACTATTTGTTTATCCGTCAGCGAATCATTATTTAAAGCAGTCTTATGCGTCACTAGGGAAAACATAAGTCAAACATATCCACAGATTAAATCCATCAAAACGATTGCTTGTTCCCAGGCAATCGTTCATAATAGCATCGTCGCACTCATTTTTAATATCCAGTCAATAGAAACTAAGTTGGGTGAATTTAAATCAGAATAATAATATTTATAAAAGAAGAGTAAAAGCTTTGTAAATTTTCGAGGGGCGTTTTATTTACATTTAAGTATTCTAATCTTCGAGGAAGTGGAAATGGTGTAATGATTATCGGCGTGAAAAGTGAAATCGGAGAATCAAGTTCAAATTCCATGCCAGTTTGGTGTGTTCACATTCGCATCATTGTCATTTAAATTGGCATGACTCCATCTTTTACCTCCCACCCCAATTACTGGTTAAATATCAGAGGACTCTTTAGACTCAATCGAAGAGAAAGAAGCTCTTATTAAAACAGTAACAGAAACAGCTCTCCACTATTTCACCCAAGAATGCATGACAATCAGTAGATAATAAAGAAACGGAATCTGTGGAGAGCCATGATCGCTTATTTCCTTAACGAAAATTGTATTTAAAACATTAAAATTACCTTTATGGAAAAAAAAATCAGGGGGTATATTTATTTTTTAAACTTTGGAATAAACTGTTAGGGATTGAACAAAAATATTTAAAGAAAACATTTAGAGGTAATTTTATTAAAAGAAATCATTCTCTGATGTTTAATGTGCCATCATCTTACTTATTATAAAATGCAAATTGTGTGTGTGTGTGTGTGTGTCTGTACGTTTATATATTGGATCGGATTTCCTACATTTTTCAACCGATTTCAACAAAACTTCACAGGACTACGTAAAATTACCTTGCAGTGGTTCTGACAGCGCCAAAAATGGGAAAAACGCAATTGTTTTTGCACGAAATCAATTTGAAAACACGATTCTGTCGCCAGAATGAAAGGGGGACAACTCATATCAAGTTATACTTATTATAAAACCCAGGTTGTTTGCGCGCGCGCGCACGCGCGCGTGTGTGTGTGTGTTCGTTTATATATGGGATCGGATTTCCTACATTTTTCAACCGATTTCAACAAAACTTCACTTTTTGGCAGGTAGTGTTTCTTATTGTCTTGCACACTTTTTTCTTTATTCTTACATTCAGAATGCTTTTAAAAATTCCATTTACAAGACAATTGTTTATAATAAAATTCTGTTCAATCGATAGACTCATAACGATTGAAAACAATGTTTTTGTTTGAGTTTGGGTTTGACCAATTCAAAAAAAAAAAAAAAAAAACTAATTAAGACATGCGTGTCCGTCAACCTTAAACAATAATCTTTGTCAATTTTATTTTTCAGTCTTTATGATGGTCGATACTTGATCTATCTCTTACTGTTACATCTCCGGGCAACGCCGGGCTCTACTCCCAGTTTTCTATAAATGGGCAAGCTTAATGAAGAGGTCACGTGGCATTTTATTTAGTTAGGAGATATAATGAAATATTATTACGACATTACTGGGCAGTAACTGTCCATTACATTGAATGGATGAACAAAATATAAAAATTCCATCGTGGTGCTGGACAATAAAAAATGGGGTTGGGGGGGTGGTTAAAGCTGCATTTTCATTTACGGCCTCCTTATCTTAATGTCGCCGGTAAAATGAACCGTTTCAATGAAGGAAACGTTCTGTGTTTATTCAGTTAGCATTACTTTCGGTTAAAATTTATTAAATCTTTTATTAAAATAGTTTTTCAGCAAGATTAAACTGCTTAAATTCACTAAATGTTATAGCTCTTTCTAATACTGATAGAAATTTCCTTCCAAACATTTTGATAGTTTTGAACGTTAACAGTTTAAACACATTATTATTTTCTTTTCTAATTACATTTTCTATCCATTTTTATTGCTACTGCTATTGAAAGTGTTGAAGTGATATGGTTTTAGTTATTTTGAATGCTCTTCGTTTGTGATTTGGTAGCGCCAATTTATAGAGTCTGATCACTGACCGTCTTCTTTAAGATTTATAAGATTAATTTATTAATCTGTAGAATAACAGAGCTAATATGCTGTTAAAATAATTGGAAAATTCGGGTTCATGCCTTTTTGTAATTACACTAAATATCTTCTGAGATATGAGTAAGGAATTGGATTAGAATCCATGCAGTCACGACAATGGAAGCAAGGCAAGGATAAAGTCATTATTACAAGAATTACCCAATCATATTGTTCCTATTAGTTTACCTTAAACCTAAGGAGTTGGCGTGTTCATAGGCGTTGATCAAAAACGTTCAGCTTCAAATTCAGGATTCCACCACTGAAAATACAACCGTAGTGTAGGCACACAAACAGTTAGAAAGGAACAGATATTTATACTATGTGAGCATTGCATATTTTACAATTTTATGAATGTACTGAATAAAGTAGTAAGAATTTGTGTTGAGTTAATCTTTCAAAGGATCTGTTTACGTTAATCATCATTTTTTACTTTACCTTTAAGCAAACAATAAGAACAAACACTGAATGCAGTAAATACGAAGAAATTTCATCTAATAGATAAATAGCTAAATATATGACACACATTTAAATATTCATATACAAACGTTTCATGTGTATAATTTGTTATTATGCAGACATCGGTGTTTTCCTTGTAAAATAAAAAAAAAACATGGTTGCTGCTGCTGATGATGATTTTAAGAATGATAATCATAATGTTGTAAAGGCGGTGACAACTTTCAGAGAAAAAAAAAAAATAAGATTTCAGTTATTTTTCAAACTGCAATATTTTTTTAATAATTCTTTCCCTATTTCTCCCTCTTTCCCTTTATCTTTGCTTTCATTTGTTCTTAACTCTTTGTGCTATTATTTTCTCTTAGTTATGTCGGCTAATCAGTCTCTTTCATTTTCTCGCCTAACCAAACTTGAAAAAAAATTCCATTTTTGTCGTACTGTGATTTTGCTTGTAGGTTTTATAAAGTGATAAGTATTTTATTGATATTTGCTAAATTGATTCAGTACGGTAGAATGTAAAATATAAGAAGATAGTGTTTAGGCAACTTTTCAAGTCTACCTGCTTTCAAAATTAGCATTCGAAGTCCTGAATTTTACCTGGCAATTAGCATCACCGAGTAATAGGTAACTATTCCAGTCACGAAGTAGTTCTCTCAATGAAGATTATATTTATTCGCGCCTACACGAAGACAAATTCGACACAAGCTTGTATAATATATTAAATTTTACTCCATACAATGTTCGAGGGCCACTCCAGCTAGAGGGTTACTGAATGAAGTGTGTAATATGAATGCTAGAGGAGATTATGAGGATAAGAATGATAGATAAAAATAGATTTTTAACTTGAACTGATTAAGAATAGGGCTTCTCTAGACATTTGCCATGGCAATAGTGATAGAGTATCAATAGGCTTGCGACTTAGCGTTTGTGGGAAAGAGGTTGTAGATTAGAAAATAAGTCATCTTTCCACAAGTCTGCGTAAAAGATTTTGAACTCTATAATGGCTGGAAAATGAGGATTGAGCTACAAGAAAGATATGGCGGCGATACTCCATTTTTGGTCTAATACGATTCTTGCAAAGATAAAGAATGGTAGGAGGAGTCAGGTACTTTCTGGAGTGATGAAATGAGTCGAATATCTTTCCAGAATCTTTATCAATGGATTGTAAATATGAGTTCCACGATATCTGAAGTGAACTGATTTAATGTGGAGCCACCCTCACACACACTATAAAGGCACCGGGGCAATCCACGGCCCTACTCTTTGGTACAATGGGGAGGTTTTCTTCCGTAGTTTGAATCTCCAGATATTAGGTACATCTGCCTTAATTATCTACCCTGTTATTTTTCCCGAACAATACCTCGACTAAAACTGAGAGGCTAAAGATAGAACAGGTCCCACTATAATGATACAATAAATAGAGAATAGGAATAAAAAAAAGCGTGTGAAAAACTACAATTACACATTAGGAAGATAAACATTCATTGATCTTTAACCAGCATTGGTAAGTGATTAAAACAATCGTAATGCTTTTTTCTGTTTCCTTAGAAAACTTTTCGTGTTTCAGCATTTCGAACGGATGGCCAATGAAATTTAGTATGAATGATAAAATTTTAAAACAAAACTTGCTATCAATTACAGAAGTAAAAATAGTTTGACGATAGAAGTTTATTTTGTGTGTGCGCGTGTGTGTGTGTGTGTGAGAGAGAGAGAGAGAGAGAGCGAGAGGAAATAAACAAAGAGAAATAAGCGACAGGGAAACAAAAGGAGAAAAAGGAACACGTAGAAAGAGAGAGAGAGAGAGAGAGAGGGAGAGAGAGAGAGTAAAAGAAAGAGAGGGAGGGAATAGAGAATGAAAAATAAGAGAGACATAGAGAAAAAGAAACTAGTGAGAGAGAGAGAGAGAAAGAGAGAGAGGGAGAGAAAAAACATAAATATGAAGGAGGTAAAGATAGAGAAGATGAAAAGAAGGACAAAGCGATTGAAAAAAAAAAAAGACCAAAACAGATTGTAATTTGTTAATCTCAGCTTCTGATTGAAATTTGTTATCTGCTGTAATTTAAATTCTAATCGTATCTGAACTGAAAATCTTATCGTTGTCATGGCAACCAGTGAGAGAAAGAGGAGAGAGAGAGAGAGAGAGAGTTAAGCAATAATGTGAAAGATATAAAAGAAAGAAGGAAAAGAGGATAAAGTAAATAGATGAGTAAGAATTGTATAAAAGAAAGAAGGAAGGAAAGAAGCAAACGAGAGAGAGAGAGAGAGAGAGAAGAAATAAATTAAGAGAGAGAGAGAAGAAATAAATTAAGATGTTTGGGCAACCAAAGACAAAAACGAATAAAAAATAAAGGCACTGCCTTGAATAGAAGTAAAAAAAAAATGTAGAAAATAAAAGAAATAAATGATCAAAGTAAATAAAAAGAAGAAAACGATGAAAGTAAAACTGAGACAAAAAAGAGCATTTTGTTTGAATAGTGATGAAAGAACAATGGGAGGAAACAAGATAGAAAAGGAGTCAAAAAGCAAAAAAAAATAAATAAATAAATAGAAATAAATAAAAAAAAATAACCATAAGTCCAACGCGAAAGAGTTTGAAAGAGAATCAGACAAAGAACGACAAAAAAAAAAAAAAAAAAAAAAGTAAAAGAAAACAATTAAAAACGAAAACATAAATGAAGGAAAAGTATGAAAAAAAAACGCTTTTTCAAAAATTCTTTATGACAATGTATATATTTGGACAAATACACGTAGATTTATTTGCATGCAAGCGCACACATACACACACAAACACATACAGAAACACACACACAAACACATACAGAAACACATTGCTTCCTTCACACATGCGCACAAGTAGACGTATAATCAACATTAATATTAAAAAAAAAATCCTGTCTGCATTCATACAAGTTACCACTTACCTATATATATTTACCAAGACACCCTTTTCAAGTACATCATAAGTTTATTCTTACGATCCGAAACAATCGGTTCTTTTTTTTTACAACAAAGAAACAATACAAAAATGACTGAAAAAAACTGAAGCGAGTGAAGGAAGGTGGCTGAAAAACATAATTTCAATTTTTTGACAGTTCTTCTATTGATGTTTAGAGAACTTAAGTCTCACAAGCCATTGCTTGTAAATTTAATCTTCATCGGGAGAACAACTCATAAGTATCTGTGCCAGGCTAGATGGAACTTAAATATTTATTCAAATTTAATTTTTTTTTCCTTTTATTTTGAAATTCTATTTCTTTACTTCAACCTTAGATTTCTTTATACTCAGTTTTTTTAGTTAATATTTTTGTTTTTAAAATTCTTTTAACGTCCTCAACTCTTACTCTCTCTCTCTCTCTCTCTCTCTTTCTCTCTAACATTCTCTCGTCTACAAAGAATCAAATTATGTAAAGGGCAAGTGTTATAACTCATCTGGTAATAATGTCTCACCCTTTATAGTCAATGTTGTTGGTCACTTCGTGGTGGAATTAAGATGATATGTGGATTTTGAACTGGTTTACCACGTTAAAAATGAAATATTAAAAAAAAAGTAATTAATTCTTTTATCCAAAAGAATGAACATTTATACGAGATGTATTTCTCAACGTATCCACTCATTTTAAGAACTGATTGCTAGTTTGTTTTTTGTTTTTCATGTAAACAGTCAGCCAATCAGAGAGAGTCGTAGTGCGCATGCGTGAACAGCAATTCTTTCATGTGATTATTCAGTCGATAGTCAGATGCCATTGAGTAATTTTGATCTTTATGTCGGATGCAGGGACATTTGTTTTGGGCAAAGCATCGCATCATACAGACATTTCAGTCCCATTACAGTGCAGATTTTGTTGCCTAAAACGTTTGATTTTTCCCGAAGTTAAACTGAAACGCTGTGTGAGAAATTCTAGAGAACGCGACAGTACAGTTGAAAGAAGAATTTGAAAACTGTTTTGAAAAAGTCGAAAGGATTCTGGGAAGAGTATATGAAGTCTATGGGAATGATTCAAAGAGGATGAAGATATTTGGATTGAATATTTTAAAATTAATATTAAATTGTTGGACATCTCCCAGACAGACTTCACAAACAATGAAATTTGAAATTTTGAAAATCATGAAATATTTGATTAGACAACAAGTTTTAATAATTTGTTAATATTTCGAGTTTTATTTGCTATTTAGATTCAAAGTAAACATTGAAATTTCTCTTATCTATTAAATATTGATTATTAAAAAATATTTTTCGGATTGATTGAACATATTTTGATATGAATGAACATCGGAATATTAACAAAATAAAAAAAATACGCACGAAATATTTTCTCTTTTTTTAAAAAAATTCTGAATTACTTTAATCCTTCTGTAGTTATTTAATAAAGAAATTCTGTTTGTAAATTAAAATTAGCCATAAAACGTCATTTAAAACTATGAGATAATGAGCACAACATTAAAAAATAAATTAGAATTTAAGAATTTCAAAAGCACATTTAGTGGATCTTATTCAAATCTGAGAAACTTGTATTGCAAAAATTCTTATATCTGATAAATATGCTTGTCATTTTGCAACAAGAATTCCCTAAAATACCTTCTCGGCTTGTTGATGAAAATTTCGGCTCATAACTACATAAAAACCAACAAAGCATTTTTAATTTACAATGTTAATAAGAATATCTTACCAGACGTATAGTTTTCCCTGATCTTGATAATGGCCAGAAGTCTTGTCGCAAATATTTCGACAATATTTACATTCATTGTATTCAGACATAAGTTAAAAAATAAGGCAAGTCGACAAAAATAACAAAATTACATGCCCATTCACTCATCATAATAGTTAGGACCATTTAAACTGGAGGGATTGCATTTAAACTGGAGGGACTGCATTTAAACTGGAGGGACTGCATTTAAACTGGAGGGATTGCATTTAAACTGGAGGGATTGCATTTAAACTGGAGGGATTGCATTTAAACTGGAGGGATTGCATTTAAACTGGAAGGACTGCATTTAAACTGGAGGGATTGCATTTAAACTGGAGGGACTGCATTTAAACTGGAGGGACTGCATTTAAACTGGAGGGATTGCATTTAAACTGGAGGGACTGCATTTAAACTGGAGGGATTGCATTTAAACTGGAGGGATTGCATTTAAACTGGAGGGATTGCATTTAAACTGGAAGGACTGCATTTAAACTGGAGGGATTGCATTTAAACTGGAGGGACTGCATTTAAACTGGAGGGACTGCATTTAAACTGGAGGGACTGCATTTAAACTGGAGGGACTGCATTAGCCGCGAGACACCAAAACGTCTAAAGCCTCCAACGTATTTCCGAATTAATCTGAAGATTTTATATTTAACATTTCACTTAGAATTTATGTTTATTTAATTTTCGTATTTTTAATCAAATTCCTTCTTCTGTTAAGTGATAGAATCTGCTGGAATTTACTACATCTTTTGACTGTCTCCTATTTGTATTAACAGTAATTTATGTAGTTTCTTGGGATTTCCTTTGTCATTTTAAAAGAGATTTCCGAACGGAGTCTGTCTATATTTCTGAGATGAGGTATTATGTACAGTATTTACATTAGTCGGACTATTGTCCTCATCTTTGTCGCCATATTTGTCCCAACGTTTCGGCCGTTGTACGCTCCGGCCTTCTTTAGGTGGTTGAAATTTCGAACTGAACCCTTTATTTCGATCACTGGGGTAGACTGTTCTAGTTCCACGTGCCATGTTTGATGGATGTCAGTTATCAGTTATCTCCTGCTAATTTTCCCTCTGAAAGTTCTCCACTACCTTAACCAGGTATTGAACTCACCTTCTTTGAGTTCCGAACATCTAGCAATTCTCGAGTTACTATGCACTTTTCAGTTTAACATGCTATTGCTTTTGTTCTCAAAGAAAAATGCACTATGTCAGTTTTTATTATGCAAGTCAATGTTTTTATAATAAAACTGATATTACCAGTTGGTAACATTTTCAATATATACTCATATTCATAGGATATATCCCATGTAAATGTTAACTTATATGTAATTTATTTAGTGACATGAGATGTTTTTTTATGCAAATTGGAAGTTGTTCATTACATTATGAATAAAATCTATTTATAAAAGATTTTAATGTTTTTCAGTTTCAGATTTATAAAGATTGCCATGTGTCTCGTAAAGACAAAACCTCAAAAGCGACAAAAAATAATTTAAACTTGTTGAAGAGTATGAGAATATAACTTTGCAAATTGCGAAATATTGAAGAACGATCATTAAATAATAAAAAAAATATTGAAAACAAGTACAAAATAGGGACAAGCAAAATCTGACTTAAATAATGTTAAAAAAGAGATTTCAGAAAAATGAAAACAGTAGTAATTAAGAAAAGAGGATTGACCAACAAGAAAATATTTAAAGAAACTGTTTTTTGAATATAAATAGAGAGAAACTATGTATAATTTTAAGAACGTTGGCTAAAGAGATGAAATAAAACAAACTATTACCTTTAAGTAAAGATCAGAACCAGAAACATAAAAGTTTAGATGAAATATATGATATTATGGATGTGCGGGTGGTGTAATAGATAGCGGCTCGAAATGAGAAATCGGAAAGCTGAGTTCAATTTCAGACGAGTTCGTTAGATTCAATAACGTGCAAATACCCTTGGAAAACGTATGAATCTTTCTCTTTTCTCCACCACTATAGTTTAAATAGCAGAGTAGACTGAGGTCAATAGCAGTAGTTGGCAAGGAGAAAGGGAAAGTTTGAATTTAAAAGTGTAACGATGTTCGCCGAGACTCAGCAATGAGGAGGGGAAAAGCAAAAAAAAAAAAAACAACAAAAATTGATTATTCAATTATAATTTTTGATGTTAAATGTTTGCTGGTGGTGGAGCGGGTCATTCAGTGAATAAGTTAACTCATACGATTTAGAAGACAACAATTGACTGGGAGTGGTCATAATATTTTGCAGTAGTATCATAGGTCTTAAATCCCTTCAAAGATGGTGATAATGTCAACATAAGTGCTGGAAATCATTGTAAATTCGTGAACAGGTCACAATCAAGAAGCTTCTATTAAACTAAAGAGTATATTCATGCAAGATAATGCATCTTTTCATTCCACGAAGACACCAAGTTAATTGTTATTGCAACCAAACCCTCCAAATGTTAAATCTAATAGAAAACTTGTGCTTCTTTTGAAAGAAATTTATAGCAGAATGGAAAACCAAAAAAAATCTCAAAACAGCAATAAAAAAACTGCCGCTAGTCATTTTAAAACAAGTTATTATTAATATTTTTAATGAGAATAGTTATTATGATGTAAAACTCATATAATATAGTCCTCGTGTAAATATATCATGAACAATTTTACAGACGTCGTTCGGTTAGCACTAATTTTATTGTGAGAATGTTGATTTGCATAATAAAATATGATATCAGGTACAATGACGAGGCACAAAAAGAAGGAGGAAGAAACATATCCGAATTAGAAAAAGGAACGAAAGAAGTAATGAATGAATGAGTAGGCGAAGAACAGAAGAAAGAAAGAAAGAAAGAAAGAAAGAAAGAAAGAAAAAAAAGGGAAAAGAAGAAAAAGTAAATAAAGACATTGAGATTGATCTTGTGAGTAACCAAGCAAAGAACTTAATGCAGAAATAATTGCAATATTAAAGGCAACTAATTTTTTCTTTTACTAGAGAATCTCTTCTTTCTATTTCGAAAGTCAATATATTTGCCAAACTTTCAGCGATGTCAGCTCGAAGAATTCAGAAATATCTGACCGTTGTAATACCTTATGTCAAAAACAAAACACGTATAAATATGTAGAAGAGTTTTTAAATGAACCAACGAAAAACGTGGAAGTCTTTCAAAGATTCTTGAATCATTGCCCCATCATTACCTTTTCATTAACCCCCCAAAAAAAAAAAAAAAAAAAAAACCAAACAAACTAGACTGAATTTAAAAAATGTCCTTTGCGCAACAATAACATTGCTGGGAGACTGAAATATATGTACATTATCAAAGACGGACGAACATATTTGACGAAAGTGCAGCCGAAAATAGAGTAATTCTTTGCATAATCATTAACCACTCTCGCCGTCCATGTTAAGATTCTTATAAACTCTTATTGATACTCGGCTTCAAAGTTTAGATCAGTAAATATTCATGTCTTGTTAAAATAGTCTCTTATTGAAACTTGTATCAACAAACACTCTATACACATACACAAATACATATCATTCTTAGGTATTTCTGTATATTATTAAAAAAAACAACAAACTTTTTGGAATAGAATTCTCGAAAAATCAGTTGTTCTGTCTAAAATAAAGAATTTCTTAATCGTTCAACTCTTACATTCCGTTTTCAATCAAAAACAAAATCTTAATCTAGTTATTATTCAATATCCTCCGAAAATTACAGCCATGCACGTATAAAACTTAGAATGGTGAAAATACCACTTGCAGAAGTCAACGATATTGGATGGTTCTGAACTTGAGTTAATGTCTAACATATATGGAATTAGTGTATATATAATCCTATTTGCTATATTTATGAAGAAAGAGTGCACAATATCGGGAATAGAGCATGCCCCATACCAGAAGCGATCATCAGACCATCTGATATTCACTGAAACTGGCAGTTACCATGTAATTTCGATTGCTATCTCTACACTATTTCCCCTCTCTTTCTTTACACACGCACACGCGCACACACACATGCGCACACACACACACATATATGGTGGGTGAGAGAAGATAGATATATAAATAGATAGATATATAAATAGATAGATATATAAATAGGGTGAGATAACAAAGATATTCTTTGTATATTTTGTTGTTTTTATTTAGTTTACATATGGGAGAACAATAAAATGGTTATTTATATATGTACGTACACGCACGCAAAATGCTCCGAAAGTTATGCCCCCTGTTTATTTCTGCTAAACACTACAAAATGTGATCTACGAGTCTTTTGGGCTTGTGACTTCTGTGAAACACTAATATCAAATTCATGTTTTGGACAGTCACCATGTCTCGTAGGTTAATTTTCCATGTATCTGGTCAACGTGTAATCCGTGAACATGGACTGAAGAATTTCTTTTTACTAGTATACGCTAAATACTTGTACGCAATATGCGTATACTGTACAATACTTTACAAAAAGCTTCATATTCTTGAAGCTCTTATTATAAAATCAAGAGACTCAAGAACAAGTAAGATCTTCATCAGTTTTGAAACGTTTTTTGAAATCATTTCACCTCAGGCAAGGCAATAATATCACTATGACGCAAGGGGTTATTGAGTGTGAAAAAACATATAAGAAACAGAAAAACATCATTAAGGAAGTAGAACAATAAAAGAACAGGAATTAAGAAGACAATAGATAACGATTGACATTGCATTGAAATGTTTGAAGATCAAAGTTGACTGGAAAGCAAGAACCTAAAAGAGAATTCTACAAGCTAGAAGCGGGAGAAGAAACTGTAAGCATAGAACTTACGGTTATACCTAGCCATTTCAACTGTACAATGATGAGACCTTACTGCCAATCTAGTACTGCGCTTAAATTCATACAGTCTTGATGTTATAGAGGAAAGTTCATCAGAACAATTACCATGAAAGTATAGATTTAGTATTAAGACAGGAGTATTTGACTATAATTCGAAACATTAGAAAAAATTCAAAACCTTCTATCTAGGTAGATAAAGTAAATGCAGAAGATGCTTTACGTAACATTCAAAACATTATGATCCTCTGCTTAAGAAGGTGTTTGTTCTTTGTCTGCCCACAAAGCAGACCCTACTTGATCAGATACAAATTATACAAAAACCCCAACGGTTTCTTCTTGGATATTGTGCCAGGATGTTAACTGGCTGAGGTTGATCAAACACATCCCATACGTGCTTAATGGAAATGAGATCTGAAGAAATTTATTGGCTAGGAAAATGCAGTGAAGCTTTTTCCGAAATCTTGCAACTATTCCTGTACACAATCAACATCTAAGATATACGATGAAGGGGTGTACATGGTCTTCACTGAGCCTGAGATAAATGGCACATGATAAATTATCTTCCACTTGAACGATGAGACCCAGTATTTCCCAGAAGAAAGTTGGTCAATCACACTGCCATCACCGGCCATGTTGTTCCTCAGATAACTACTCATGCGGACACTGACGTCATCATTATTAAGGAAAAAGTCATTGAACAAGGTGACTTCTCCCATTGATATAAGATCGAATTCCGATGCAGTCCCACATTTCTTTGCTATTAAACATAGTCTGCAATTGGTGCTTGATTCTTATGTTGGCTCATATTTGTCGCAAAAAACCTTAGTCTTAGTCTTGTCGCATTAATGAGACTTGGTCGGTGAATCTTCCATAAGTCACCTCATGTTGGAATACTCTGACCCAATATTCTGACTACAGTGTAACCCGGATATAAGAGAGTTGTCGGGACCGGAGACGAAGTCTCTTATATCCGGGTTTCTCTTATATCCGGTTTTGGTCTATTTTGTTTAGGTAAGTAAGGCTCTAATTTGGGACCAGAGAAAATCTCTCTTATATCCGGGTTTCTCTTATATCCGGGTTTCTCTTATATCCGGGTTACACTGTATAACAATTTGAGTATAATAAAGTCACAAATCTGCTTTGTTTGACCATAACTACGATATTCAAGATATCAAAATGAAATAATCAACTCCAGCTTACTTGATTATTTTTCGCTGACTTTGATATGCGTAGTTGTTAGAAGATAATGCCTCTCATTTTTGATACACGTCACTGCTTATTTTCAATCTTCAGTATATTTTGTCATATTACTTCCTTTAAACAAAACTTTCTTGGAAAAGTTTTCGCTCTGGAGTTGATAAAGTTGTTGACAAATCTTCCAGAAGTTTAAAATCTTTGATATTTTCCCATAGATTTATGCTTATTATTCTTGGAATCCAATGAGCAAGAGAAACGGAGTCTGTAGAGAAATTGACGGTTCAGCCGGGGGCAGGAGTAAATTACTTACCTGGGTTGTTGAGTCCTGTTGACTAAAAGCTGTTACCTTTTACTAATTTTTTCTATAGTTATAGGGTCTCGTGACTTGTTACCACGTGATCCCTGAAGTGGTTATGAAGGAAATGTTTTTCCTCCTTTTCTTCGCTATTTTTGTAACTCAATGCAAGTTATCAGACGATTAAGCTACGTCGCGGAAGGAAATGTTTTTTTTGCAACTTAAGGTAAGTACTTTTGCTACTTTCCTCGGCCTGCACCGTCTATGAACTTTTTTTGAGTTGAGATTTTCTCGACAAGTCTTTGCAGCGGCCATATTTTTTTTCAGTATTTTCGTTCTCTTTCATGCTTTGTTTGTTTGTTTGTTTGATTGTTTGTTTGTTTCTTTCTTTCTTTCTTAAATATCTAAATTTCTATAAGTCTTTTCTAAAAGTGTTTTAAAATTGCTCTTCTATGAATCATTACTGATAATAAATAAAAGAAGAAAGTCTCTTTTATGTTCCTGTGTTTCATTTGATACTTCAAGTTTTTATATTTGATTGCCATCTACAGTTGTTACCTTGTCTGAATGTATCAAGCAGCTTCATCTAGACGAAATCCTATCTAATACAAATTTCCTTTATTGTTATTATTTTCGGTAAAAATCCCAAATTTCTCCGGCTGTTTTAGGAAGCGAAATATTTCGTAGAGCTTTTCTTTTTTATTAAAAATCTTTCATGATCATGTTTTTTGTTTTTGTCTTTTATCGTGTGACAGTTCCTGGTATTCCTACAATAATTGGGTTAACGCTATACATTTTAATAATCTCTGAAAATGACGTGAAAAGTTTTGCCAATTTGATAATTTTACTTTTCTTTTCTTCCAAATTATCGTCACATAGATGACTATATAGATGAAAGTAGACTGCTAGGTAGATATGAACAGATAGGGATGGATAGATTGTGGTACTATCCTACCTTGTCTGCTAATGAACCTCTCTTAACTCGCTAGGTGGCGTGGCAACCAGGAACTCTGAAATGTAGCGATAAAACAGGACTTGTCTTCACAGGGAAGATTTCTTTCCCCAGGTAATTCTGTTATTTGATTTCATCAATCCCCGTGGCCCTCTCTCTCCCTCCCTCCCTCTCTCTCACACACACACACACACACACACACACACACACACACACACACACACACACACACACACACACACACATCTCATAAATGTTTTTTTTCTATCAGTATACATATAAATATAATTTTCTTTTTCCCTTCTATTAGCTATATTGTTTGCTGTTCATATAAACGTATATGTAGAAAAATCCTCTACGTGTTGAATTCATTACTTTTGAAAGTTTTCCACACCAGCCGCTTATCTCTGTTACAAGACAAACCAAATTCGAACAACAAGACTGGAGCACGCTTTGGAGCTTACCTTTTAGTCAATTTACTTTGCATTTTAAAAAGCATTTTCGTTGTAAACTGCAAAGCATTACCGCTTCTTACTGTCTGTTCTGTTTATGCGATTACAGTTTTTATTTATTCTAAAACCAGATTTATTATTGTTGTCTGTCACGTTTTAATTGAGACGAAAACCTCTTTGTTATTTCACCTTATTTCCAAA